TATATATATATATATATATTTGTTTTATTTTTTTGTAATTTTGGTTAAAGATATCTCGTTCAAAATTCTGACGTGAGAAGTAAGCATAATGATTTAGGGATATGTGGGGGTATAACCATAACGCTCACAACAGTGCAAGACATGGTATTCTACTATTCTCCATGTTCTGCATCATCTAGACCTTATCTTATAGGCTTAGGGCGAGGTGATATAGTTTCTCCATTCTCCTCCTCTAATAATTCCCCTCCCTATTCCTAATGTGGTTATGGGCGGAGCTAGAAGGCAAGTACGGATTCAGCGTAACTTAGTATTTTTTGTTCAAACAGTGTATTTGTATTAAAAAATTCATTAAATATGTATAAATATTGAATTTAGAACCCACTTATTAATATTTGAAGTCGTCTTTCTAAAATTCAGAACACACAAAGTTAAAACCTGGCTTTGCCTCTGATTATGTGGGGGAGCTAATGATCTAGGAAATATAAAGCTATAAGACTTCAAACATTCATGTCAATCAACAGTGACTAAGATTTATATATCACATTAAGCCATCTCTTGTAGTTTTACGAATACGGTGAATATATAATGGGATATCTGGCGGCCTCCTTTGAATCCATTTTTGTTGAAAGGAGAAATGTTCATTTGAAGCTTAGCGATGTAAAATTCCTTTTTATTCGTATATATGACATCCGAATGATCTCATCTTTGGGAGTAATTATATATAGAAGAATTTAAAGTTTTATACATTAAAGGCGTAACAAAAAATATTTACACAATTCCTTAATAAACATTAACTAGTAATCTAATAATAAAGATAAAAATGATAGCATTAATTAAGCTCTCGCTATGCGCGGGGTGCGGAAAAGAGTCGGATCATAATGATTTATTGTATCTATCTTTACCCTATATTTTTGAAGAAAAAGATAGTCACTAATTTATTAATTCACATATTAAAACATAATAATTGTGTTAATTTTTTTTATATTATTAGTGTATGTATGTTTGCAAAGTTGAAAAATATTTTAAAGCCACAAAAAATGGAGGACCTTCTAGAGCTTCACATGCTAGAAACCACCTAAGTGGGACCTCTCCATCTTGCTTTGCTTGGTTTTAGTGGATCCTTAGCTTTCCAATCCCGTCTTCATAGCTAGTAATTGAGCGGACATTCTATTCTTCCTTGGACTACATCATTTCTTACGTCCTCCTCAGCCTAATTTTCAAGGATCAATTTCCTTATAGCCACTATCTCATGTTTTTCCTTGCGGAGACAGGATTTGAAGCTTGTTGGTTCGGATTGTAATCTTTTTAAGTTACTGGATTCTAAATTAATAATTTGTATGTATTCAATGAATTTCTTAAGACAAATATATAATCTGAATAAAAGTTACAGGGTTCGGCCGAACCCGCATTCCACACTCCGGCTCCGCCCCTGATGTTTCTAACCAGTTAATGTCATATACGCATTTTAGTTCTACAGCCTTAAGAATGAAGAATCTTTCAGTAAAAAATAATTTTACTTCCTTAGTTAAGTCTTTCTAGTGAGAATTCGAATTAGCAAGACTAATGGACTCTGAAGTCTGAATACGGGGTGCTTAAATTAAAAAACAAAACAAAAAAGTTTTTTTTCAAAGACAAAAAATATAGATCCCAAAAATAATAAAAATTAATTTTCTTATAGTACAGACTATTTTTCTAATTGTTATACTTATGTATCTGTGTTTGTACCACTTTCTAGGTGTTTTTCTTGCTGAGAAGTTATTTACTTCCATGCTCTTTCCTCTTTTTTCAAGGAACATATCTGTCTGATATATGATTAGGAACTAATTTGATGTTATTAATTGATTTTGGGAAAACTTAATTATAAATAAACCAATTGTCTTTAGTTTGACTTTGACATGTTATCGTGTTCTCCTTCCAGTGCATTTAAGTAATTTTTTGACTTTTTTTTGTGATCTATAATATTTGATTTTTTCAGATATCAAGAAGAAATTAATTTCTTTTTTTCAAAGTTGCCATTGAAGTAAAGAGCCTAGGAATAGTTTATTATGTTTTCAATTAGCAAATTAAGATTAATATGGTACATTTCATTGTTAATTAATGCTAAAAGTTGAATTTCGTTTGGTTTTTGTCAGCCTTGGTCCATTTGCTTTGGCTCTAGTTGTTTTCTGTATTGGTGCAGAAGTAAGAACTCAATTAGTGATGCCGTCAAGAGATTTGCACAATATTCAACTAGAATAATTTGCACAAAATCACTCTACACCCTCTTTGGATCAGCTAAAAAGGTTTCGGTTTCTCTAATGCAGAGTGAAAAAAGAATGCAAACCTGAAAACTATGATTTGATCAACTCCTTGTCACCCTTCAGTTCACCAGAAAGCAAAATGTATCTTCAAGGAAAACCATTCTGACGTATCTTTACAGATTTAAGAGTAGAGATAACAACCAGGGGCGGACATAACTTATAAGTTATGGGTTCACGTAAATCCAATAACTTTTGTCTAGACCTTGTAAGCTGTATATTGAAAAATTCACTAAATATATATAAATACTTGACTGTGAATCCAATTATTAGTGTATATTAACTTGAGATACGCTTCCCTGCCAATAACCTACACAGCTACATGGTTATAATTCACCATTTTGGTCAAATAGCTTTAAGCCCCAGCTCACATCCTCGCAGTGCCTCACATGAGGAACAATTTTGCTCGTATCTGTTCCCGTTTTCTTTTTGCAATCATAGTAAGGCGGGGCATGAAAACATGGCTCCAACGATGCAGCTCGAACACAAGGCGGATTATGGGCTGTCTTGTTCTCAGGCTTGTATAGGATCCAGGGCTTCATACCTCCAAGACCCTGAGCCACATAACCAAAAGTGGACCGTGCACTTGTAACCAATTTGTCAGTTAAACTCAGTAGATACATTTCTGCCAACGCTTTTCTTTCGTGCATGAGATTTTCACTTTGCTGATATTTCTCCTGACTCGGCTGGTAAACACCAACGATCTCTCCTGTCACGGTAGGATGCTCCCAATACTTGTTTCGGAACTCTTCAGCGTATCCAGGGCTTAGAGAAGTCATCAGGACGGCTATGTTCTTATTCTGCATGTTCCCCGATGGGTTGAGTACTATTGGCTTCCCCGAGTTAATTTGTGGCAGTAGATTCTCCTTCATTGTACAATCTAATATTGATCCAATACATACTTTAAAGGACCAACATCTGATTCAAGGACTCTAATTTGAATGCCTAATTTTTCATCAGCTTGGGCTAAATAAGCTTGATAGTATCTCACAACAAGCCCCCATACAGAATTTGTGGGATGTAACAGGTATCTACCTAGAAAATGGAAGATGGTTTCTTTTTCAGGAAAAAGATTACTTAATTCTTGCTCGAACGATGGTATCAAGAAAAGAAAAGGCACGAAATATTCATCCGATTTCATGACAAGCCAAGGGATTTTGCGGAGAAAACTTTGGTCCTGGTCACAGAAAAATAATTTATCTTGATCATCGTAGTCATGAGCTAAATAGAGGTAGACGGAAGGAGGTAGTATTGAGCCAGTTGAATAATTGCCTATGTTGATATCATTCTTCACCATATAACCATAGGAATGAGGAGATTTCTGATCAAAGGTACTGAACTGATTGATTATAGGAAAATCTGGAGGTAGAAACCAGGAAACCTCAGGAAAAGGTTCACAGAAGAGACCAGGCATATTAACTCCAGGATCAACAAGTAAGACTCGGTTTGTTAGAAGAGCATATAGGAAAGCAGAAGCTAAGGTTAGTATCCTGTTTCCTAAACCACTATAGGAAATCCAAACAAAGTAATTACAATCTGCAGAACCTGATATGTATTGACCAGACTTGATAAGCTCGACACTTTTGTTGTATAATTCTGTATGTCCACATTGCTTATGAAGAGCCTCGTAGTTTCGTAACCTTGAGATGAGGTAAGACGATGGCTTGTGACGCAGTTCTTTGTAATATAAAGCTGACTCATATCTACTCAGACAAGATCTTTCATCAATTCCAGCAGGAAGAAGGCCACCGAGCAGTTTATCTTTTTGCACCGTCACTGGCTGATGACTACCATATTGTTCAGAAACTGAGGCTGAAAAAACCAAAAAAAGAAGTTAAACAATTAAGAAAATTGATTACATACTTTATCAGTAAAACAAACAGATTACAAGCATTTATCCAACTGTTGGATCCACAATCAAACTAGAAGAGCAAGCTTGCAAGCAAAGCACACATACATTCACACAACAAACACAAAGAGAACAAATATCTGTCTACCAAACTATGCAAGAATGAAACAAGTAACTGGTCAATTATAAGTAAACGACATGATAATGCCCCACATAAAGAAAGTTTAAATGACATGAACCTGATTCTTCTGCTGCCAACCTTGCTTCTCAGCGTTACCTTTATTATTCTACTGACTAAATCTTCAAAAGCATTAGGGTCTTTTTAACTTTTCCTCACATTATTAAGACTACTGTATGAAACATTGAAACCAGATATGCTAGTCTAATCCAAACTACTAAAATGAGATCAGATATGCTAGTCTAATCCAAACTTTTCCTCACATTAATAAGACTACTGTATGAAGATAAAAAGTAATTAGGAGATAAAAACCAAAAGCACATAAACAGGCTGCATATAACAGCCCATGTGCATATGTGTTGTATCTATTCTACTTATATATGGCAAACTTGATCAACAAAAAGCTAAAGAATGGGGAAATGAAGTGTACCATTTGGAGGTTTAACATAAAAATTTCTAGCTTCAGCCAAAGTCCTGAGGCTATCATTTTTTTTAATGCAGATATGCTGGACGTTAAAGAAGTCTTTAATACATTTTATTTGCATTTTGTAAATTTTCTCAAATGATTAATTCTCTATTTGTTGGTTAACCTCAATACTAATTCAAAATTTCAATAACCTAGCAAATAAAGATAACACGTGCAGCTGCTAAAATGAATGCCTCTACCTCAGTGTTTGATCCTGTTGGTTTCTAAGTTCAATTTCTTTGGGAAGATTCTGATCGCGGAAACGATGCTAATCAGGAAACCTCTGAACTAATTATATGCCAAAATTGGACATTAAGATATTCATTTTATTTGTAGGTGTTGGAAATATATATATAATCATGTTATAATTGCTCGTTTTTCATGGATTAATTAAATGACGGAAGGAGGGGGTCGGAAAAAGACATCAACTTCCGGAGAATATATAAATGGGAGTGACTCCAAATGAAAAGTATTCTCTTCGGTCTACTTTATTTGATTTTTTTGCCTCTTTTTTGTGGTCTATAATATTAAATTTTTTTCAAATATAAAAAAGGAATTAACATCTTTTTTTCCAAAGTTACTCTTGGAATAAAGAACCAAGGAGTATTGGTTATATTTTCAATGAACAAATTAAGGTTAATATGGTCAATTTTGTTATTAATTAATGTTAAAGGTGAATTCCTTAGTTACAATAAAACAACCAAAAATTAATTAAAGTGGACAGGAGGTTAGTTACAATAAAACAACCAAAAATCAATTAAAGTGGACAGGAGGGAGTAGTAAAACCTTGGACGAAATTATTTGTGTGGGCAAATAATACTACTCTAAAGAGTGAGTTATTAGGTGAAACTAGTCTTCTATTTGTAGACTCAAAATTAAGCCAAAAACCAGGCCAAAATGGTGTAGGATTCTGCTAGTGGCAGAATCCTAGTCCTACTCAAATAAAAAACTTTTCATCCAAGTCACTTTTACCCAAGTATGTCAAGGTTTTTACATGTATAACAGTGACCATAGAAATAATAAGAGGCTATCAATTATAGTATCAATTGAAAATTTTTGAATTAAATGCTGCTATAATTAATCATAGTTTATTCCATTAAAAAACTGCAATTGAACTCCTTAATATGAATTTTGAAATTCACCAACACTTATTTTAACTCACCGTGTTAAGATTACAAATACCAGTTAATTAAACTAAATCACTGATAATTTAATTTAATCAACTAATTAAATCTTTTATAATTTCGCTTAAACTATTTCATGTCACAGATACGAAATTTCCGGCCAGGTTTTCACATGAAAACTTATAAGCTTACATAAAGGGGTATTATCAAACTCAAGGCCGAGTCACGTATTCTGTCAACTAATTATTATTTCACAAATGCTATTTGTTATTGTCCAATCTATTAGGCATACACTAACTCTGAATAGAGTTGTACCTTTTGATAAATCAAAACAATAAATAAATCACATTGATCATAATAACTATATCAAGATTATGTGTATAAGCTCATTTAATGAATCAGAGAAAATGTTTCATATATATTCAGTACAAAAAATATCTTTTCTCTATGTGGTCCGTTCAATATACACTAAGTATATTAGCACAAGAAGTTGGAGTAAAACCACTCCCAAAATCAAGATAAATTATACTTTAATCTTGTGCTACAATCATAAAGATATTTTGCCCAACAATATCTTCGATTGTGAACATAGTTTATTAATTATGAGAACTGACAACTTTTATGCATGAGCTAAGACTCCATACACTAAATCGTCTACTACATAACTAAAGGACACACATGTAACAAATGATCTATTTAAAATAATACTTTATTGAATTGAATAAATCAAATAAATAATTATTCCATAAACAATAAAACATAATACTATAGCTAAACCGCATGGTTAATAGTATATCACAACAATTTCCTACTTAGACTCATAACCATACGTCTACAACTCTAATATATATTCCTTCTACATGCTTGTCAAAAATCTTCTGTGGCAAGCTCTTTGTAAACGGGTCTGCCAAATTGTTTTCTGACGCAATCTTCAACACTTTTGCATCACCTTTCTGAGTTATGTCCCGAATTAAATGATATGTACGCTCAATATGCTTACTCCTTTTATGGCTCCACGGTTCCTTCGAGTTTGCAACTACACCACTATTGTCACAATAAATTACATTTGGTGCTTGAACCGAAGGAACCACATTAAGCTCTTTCAGAATGTTCTCGAGCCAAACAACCTCTTTAGCTGCCTCAGAGGCAGCCACATATTCGGCTTCCATGGTGGAATCAACAATACATGATTGCTTGATACTCCTCCAACTTATGGCTCCACCTCCTAAGGTAAAAACATATCCTAAGGTAGATTTTCTAGAATCTCTAGCTGACTGAAAATCTGAATCAGTATAGCCAATGGGTGCAAGATCACCTGAGCGATAAACCAACATATAATCCCTAGTCCTTTTCAGGTACTTGATTATATCGCCTTTATCTTTTCTATCTCATAAGTCGTTTTGGGGAATGATGCCTAAAAGGAATAAAGCCTTTCTTGGAATCTTGCATGCTAAACCTGGTGAGAATAGTATTAATATAAAGTGCCTGGGATAAGCCTAATATCCTTCGCTTGCGATCTCGCATAAGCTTGATCCCAAGGATATATGTCGTTTCTCCCAAGTCCTTTATATCAAAACGCGAGGACAACCACTCCTTTACTGAATTCAACATGCTCACATTATTTTCTATGAGCAAGATATCATCTACGTACAAAACCAAAAATGTAACTTTATCTCCAAACCACTTCTTATTGACACAAGACTCATTTTCACATTAATCAAAACCGAAAGTTTTAATCGATGTGTCAAAATAAGTGTTCCATGATCTAAAATTCTATTTTAATCCATAAATAGATTTCTTTAATTTACACAACATGTGCTCATTGGCTCTTTTTATGAAACTATTTGGTTGTGCCATATAGATGCACTCCTCAAGACCTCCATTAAGGAAAGCTGTCTTGACATCTATTTGCCAAATCTCATAATCGTAATGAGCAGCAATGAATAAGAGAATCTTAATGGATTTAAGTGTGGCTACTGGCGAAAAGGTTTCCTCATAATCGATCCCTCCTTTTTTATTAAATCATTTTGCAACAAGCCTAGCTTTAAAAGTTTACACTTTTCCATCCACTCCTCTCTTTTTCTTATAGATCCATCTACAACCAATGGGTTTGACTCCAGTAGGTGGTTCTACAAGGTCCCAGACTTGATTGGAGTACATGGACTCCGTTTTAGATTGCATAGCAGTACCCCATTTTTCAGCGTCTGTATCAAGTAGTGCTTCGTCGTAAATAAGAGGTTTTGTATTAGGCTCTTCAGGAATTCTATCATAAGATTCTTCCAAGAGTGCAAACCGGAGAGGTTTTTTAATAATTCTCCCATTACGACTAGTCACTACAGGTACAGTTTAATTTTGTTGTTGAACCGCAACATCATTTTCCTAAATTAAAGCCTCAATATTATCTTACGCGCTTACGGTGATGTGATACTATTAACTTCTTCCTGAAGTGCAGGCTGCACAATAATTTCATGTTGTTCAACAATATGAGGTTGCTCAACATTACTCCCACTACTTTGGGGTAGTGAGATTCCAGGCAATTGCTCTTGTGTGTTCTACTGCCTATTTACATTTCTCCCACTGTGTATGTCAACATTGGCTTCCGGGATACATTCCGAAGATTAATCATTAGTTACTCCATTGCTTAATTCCTGGAAAACTAGTTTACTTCTAGGATATGGTTCATTAAATAGTCCTCTTCTAAAAATCTAGCATTTGTTGCAACAATTACCTTCTTTTCTTTGGGACAATAAAATAAACCTCTTTTCGTTCCCTTTAGATATCCAATAAAAATGCATACTTCTGTCCTCAATTTTAATTTATCCGCTTTCTATTTCAGCACATGTGCTGGACAACCCCAAACCCGAATGTGCCGCAAATTGGGCTTGTGCCCAGTCCACAATTCTGCTGGGGTTGAAGGTACTGACTTTGAAGGAACCACATCCAGAATATAATTTGTTCTTTCAAAAGCATATCCTCAAAAAGAAGAAGGCAAATCGGAATAACTTAACATTGATCTAACCATTTCCATAAGGGTCCTATTTTTTTTTCTTCCATACCATTTTGTTGTGGTGTTCCTGGGGTAGATAATTAAGATGTAATTTCACAATATGATATGTATTTAATGAATTATGAATAAAGGTATTCACCACCACGATCAGATCGCAATGATTTGATATGTTTATCATATCGTTTCTCCATTTCCGTCTTAAATTCTTTG